ATATATATATATATATATATATATATATATATATATATATATATATATATATATATATATATATATATATATATATATATATATTCGTAAATAGAAACAGGAATGGAATTGGGTAAGCTAAATTGTCCATAGTGTATGTGTGTTATTGAGTGTGTATGGATGTTTTCCAATGATGGGTTGCAGCTGGAAAGGCATCCGCTGTGTAAAACATATTCTGGATAAGTTCATTCCGCTGTGGCGACCCCTGATTAATAAAGGGACTAAGCTGAAAAGAAAATGAATGAATGAACAGGAATGGGAACTATATTATTCTTCCGCTGTATCTCTTTTAATGCTCACAAACACTCACTATCAAAGCACAGTACACCCATCCAGCACAGTTTAAAAACAGTTAAAATAACATAAAAATACAATTTTAAAGGGAAGAAATGTCGATTTGCTTTATATTAAGCAAGGCAATGCAGTATTTTTTGTTATATATGATTTTATTTCGTCAATTTTTGTTTAGTTAAAAATGTTTTGTCATTTTAATTTAATAATAATTATTAAATGTTATTTAATAATAATAATAATAATGTGTTTAAAAAAAACAAACATAAAATCACTATAAAATATTTCATTGAAGTATGAGTATCAATATCGGATCAGAAAGAAAATTAATATCGCTCATACCTAGAGGACAATGTTTGAATTTGAGTTCATTAAATGGGATAACCTCGAGATGAACTATAAGAATCAGTACATAAGCCAAAACAAAGCACAACACATCAAAACAAACAAGCAGCACACTTCACCTGAACCACCTCCCACAGTCAGTGCAAGCACAGACAATTGAATGTGCAAATAATTAACTGAAACTAAAATTAAATAATTAATTAAAATAAATAACATTTACAAGTAGTTTTCCAAAAAAATCCCGTCATCAAATCTAATGGTAAATACCGCAGAGATATTTTAAAGAGCAGATTAATGCAAGACTTCTTTTTATTTAGTTTAATGTTGGTTATAAGTTGAGCCCTATGGTGTCCTTGCAGGGACACAAGCTCTATTTAAAGTGCAAATGGGGTTTTCCACAGAGCCCACGGCGCTTTCCACAATCCAGTTTTTGTAGCATTTGTATTCCCAACCGCATGCAGCACAGCCAGGGAAATGTTTCCAAATGATAATGAGACGCATATAAAAGACGTGCGCTTATTTTCATAATGTCACCAATTACTGTTCTCAATCTAAATCCAAGATAAAGCATTTGATATCACATGTTGCTGTTTAGACTCTCTTTCTGTTTGTTTGTTTGTTTACCACCAAATTTTACGTTTTAACTGCTTGAGTTTTAATGCACCACCATATGAGGCGTCCGTATTTATTTTGAGGTTTAAAAGTCTGCGATTTTTGCCCAGTTCGTCTTAAAAAATTAAAAAGATTGCCATCGCTTGCTTAAGCCTTCGGTTGTTATTAAATGTTTATTTGCGCAGATGTTTAATCAAGATGGATTTATGGCTAATAATACACTAGCTATTGGACGTTTACAGCCTCTCTGTAGTGTTCTGAAGGGAGATTAAGTTAGAAATCGTAGTATTATATCAATATGTGAATATATCAGGCTGCTTTTGACTGGTCTAGATGCTGATTCTGTGTTTTATATTGGAAGTAGATTCATTTGTTGTACATTACTTTAAAATTGAAGAAAATACAGTTTTTATGTGAGCTAGGGGTAAAGATTTGATTACTACACATTTCACATGTATATTATATTATATTATATTATATTATATTATATTATATTATATTATATTATATTATATTATATTATATTATATTATATTATATTATGTTATATTCT